GAGACTTGTTATGATCGAGACTTGTTAAGGAGGTTGAGCCGCTAACTATTCGAACATTTCGATGTCGTAAGCAGGGGCGGCTCAAAAAAGGCCAAACAAATTTTGGGTCCTATGCAAAAATTTTAATTTTTTTTTTAAAATGGTCTATATTTGTTAAAATCTAAAATTTTGGGCCCTTTTATATATAATTTTAATAATTTTTGAGCCCTAAATTACAATAAAAATTAACTAAAAAAAATGGACCATGTGCGGTTGCACACCTTGCACACCCTCAGAACCTCCCCTGGTCATAAGTGGAGTCTCCGGTGATGCGAATAGAACTCAAACGGTTTGTTATATTCTTGTCAATCATCTTAACAAGCTTAGGAGATGTGAATGGCATCTCACCATGGCGACGTCGATTTCTTTCTCTCCAAATATGGTACAGAGCCGATTGGAAGGTGTACCTTAGTAGAAACAGTTTGGTTTTATCAAATCTTGAATTGAAATTTAACTCTAAACATCATTTAAAATGAAAAAAATAGTGTAAAATTGAAATAACATTTATAAAGTAAAAAATGAAGTCGGGTTAGAGATGCTTTTTTTTTTTGTCAAAGTAGTCGGGTTAGAGATGCTTTTCTATAACTTTATTGGCCTAATAATTTGTTTTTCTTGTTATAAAAGAAGTAATTGGATAAAAAGGTCGACTGTTCGGCTCCACATAAGCAAATGATTTAAAGTTGAAAAACATAGGGATTAGCGTAAACCACGTTTTTCTGTTCTTTCATGCCACTCTTGTCTCTTTAAATAATTGAATGTTTCTTCTCTTTGTGTATAATGGGGTCCGCATTTTGATTTAAATCATCATTTATAATATAGAAAAAAATTTTCCATATACATCAACTCTAGCCGCAAAGATTGGCTAAACAGTGATTTTCTAATTAACAAAAAAACAAAAAACAAAATTCATTCTCTTAACAAATCAACAAATGAATGATCCTAGTGGGCTTATAGGCCCATTAATCACGAATCTAAGTCTATCATGCTAGGGTTTCACGTAGGGCCCAAGAGAAACATTCCTCAAATAGCTCTCGCTTGTACGTCAAGAATCAAGTCACGAGATTTGAGCTGCCCAGTTTCTTTTCTTTGGCTTTAGGTCACGTATTAAACACTCCACCTTCGCAATTGATTCAGTTTCATATTATATTTTGTCTAATGCCCATAACATCCCGTTGACTTCTTTTACTTTCTATTATCTCCTGGACAATCTCTTTGGATCGGTTTTTTCTCTTTAATTTTCAGAAAGAAATGGGTGTGTTTACTGGTTTTGGTGCATGGATCAATCAGAACATTCAACAGCCTCTTAAGGTCAGCTTCATTTCTATCACTAGAGGACCTGAGTTAAGAACATAAACTAGATTATGATTTTGTTTGTTTTTGTAGGCCGAGTCAAAGAGTTCTGAGAATGCTAAATCTAAGTCAAGGTCAGAGATAAATACTCACGAGAAGAAAGATGAGATGAAGGAGCAATTAACACTTTGGAGAGATGCAGAGAAGAAGAAACAATGGTATGATGCTCCTGGTAAGGTTAAGGTAAGACTAATCAGCAAAGCAAAATGTCAATTCTTAAGATTTTGGAATATGCACATGGAATTTACATTAGTATTACACAAGAATTAAGAATAAAGATCCCAAAATGTTGTATTTTTTTGTGCTTGAAGGTGAAAACAGAAAAGGGTATTTGTCATATGCACTTGGAATTTACATTAGGATTGCCTCCTAAAGCAGCATACGACGTTTTAACTAATCCAGAGAACCAATCCTACTCCAGATTCGTCAATGACCGCGCACTTCTGGTTTTTTCTCTTAACTGATTTTTGCATAACTTGAATGAGTATTATTAACAATATTTGAGAGTTGATCTTTTTTTTTCCTCACTAAGGATAACATATCAAGAAAAATTGTGACGAATGATGGAACGAAGATGGTTGTGGAGGCGGAGAAAGATGTGGTCTGGAACATCAGTTCATGGTCACGACCTATCCCGATAACTCTATTAATCGAAGAAAACGAAAAAGATCTTTCCGTAAAAAACTTCTCTCTATCTCTCACGAGAATCAATATTTTTGTTCAGCCTTGAAAAACTTAATTTGAGTTTCTATTGCTTGTCGTCGGCAGGTAGTATATACGAAAGAAAAAATGACGTTCATGAAAGTGTTCGATGGTTGTTATAAAGTGGAGCCCATATACGTAGATTCAGAGCGCTTGTGCAAGAACAA